GGGCGCCCCACGTGACCTTGTCGGTTCCCTCTCGGCTCCCGTGGCCAAACTCGACGAGGGCGTCCCCGGGGTAGCACGTCAGGAGCGTCCCCCTCGGCCAGTCCCCCTTGGCAAAGAGTCCCCTGCCGGCGCCCGGGACGGTCGAGGGGCCGACGGCCGTCCGGTCGATGGCGAGGAACCGGCCCCCGGTCCCGGGAGCCGCCTTGCTCAGGCGGGTGGTCAGCAGGGCCCGGCGGCGGTCGTCCCCCCGGGGGGGATCGCCGCCTCCGCTCCCTTCCACCGGCCAGCGGGCCAGGAGGCCGGCGAGGGTCTCGAGGGTGTCGCCACCGGCAGAAGGCACGGGTTCGTCGCCGCCGCCATGGCTTCCGCTGCCCGGCCGCGCCGCCGGCCGCGGACACCGCCCGGTCGCTCCGTTCGCCGTTGTCCCGGCAGCGCACGGACGCGCCCGGTGGTTCCCCCGGACCCAAAACCCGGCCACCCCCGTGTCCTTCCGGGACGACGCCCAGCCCGCGAGGAGGGCGGCGGCGGGCCAAGACCGGATCCGGGGCTGCCGGGGGTTGCGCGGTCGCTGCTGTCCTCGCGAGCGCATGGGTCTCGTGCCGCGGCGTTCTTGCATCCTCTTGTCCGTTTTGGATGGACGGACGGATGGATGGATGGATGGATGGATGGTTTTCGGTGGTTGTTGTTTTTTTTTTCGCGAGGACGTTTTCTGTGATCTTGGTTGTGTTTGTACCCTTTCGTACGTACCATCACTCGTACTCTTACGTACTCGTACCGGTACGGAATCGATTGATTCCGATGAAGAAATGAATGAATCGGTGGCAGGTGCAGTGCGRTGGACCAACCCAATCCATTCGAACGAGTCGAAAAAAGCAAGTCACCACCAATCTTCGCGCCAAGAAAAAACATCCGATCCGTTTGGTCCTAGTACGGAAACAGCGTAGAGGAAAAAACCGTACAGATAGACATGACACAGACGCAAGGAGACGGTTGGCACGGCACGTACGGTACAGTACTCCCTACGCGTACGGCAATGCGGAAGAGGGTTCCGCATCGCTCAGCGCGGGAATTCCTCTACCACGGTACGGTACCAGGCACGCAGATGCGAGCATTCGCAAGCTATGGCACTCGCTCCATGGTTTCGAGAGGAATCATTGTTGGATCGCAAAAGGTGCATGCGGTACGAGTACAAGTACGAGTAGTTCCACCATCTGCTGTAACACAACTAACGACACACTTTTCCCATCCAACCACCATCTCTCTGACGGCACGGCTTGGAAACCYGCCCCACGACGCAGCCGAAAGCAAGGCAACACAACGCAACGCACAACACAACACGGCTCGCCCTGCCAAGAACGTCGAAACCAACACCCTCTCCAACACCAACACCAGCACCGACAGCAACACCCCCATGGCACCCGCCACGTACTCCTCCAGCGGCGACCGGTGGACGGTCGGGAGCGAAGATCCCGCCGAAGAAGGCGGGTCTTCCGTCCGCGACCTCACAAGGGATCTCCTTCCGGACGAGGACCTTCCGGAGGCACCTTTGCCGGGCCCCTGCGTCTTTTCGGACGAGAAGGGAGACGGGACCGGTGCGAACGACCACGGGCAAGACMAAAACGAAGAGGACGACAACGGCGACGAACGGCCGGGAGCCCGGACCGGCCGCCGCAAGAAACCGAGGGCCAACGATCGCCCCGCGGTGGAGAAGGGTGCCTGCGGCGGCGAGACCGCCAAAGRTGCCGGGGAAGAAACCGGCCGCAGCGATCGCGTCCAAGACGACGAAAACGAWAACGAAAACGACGAAATCAATGACAACGACGAAATCAACGACGAAAACGACGACGAATCCGTGGAGATGAAGGGAGCCGCGGCCCCGCCCCACACCGATGGGAACGGCGGCGGCGAGGACGACGAGAACGAAGACGACGACATGACCGTCGCCATGACGGACGACGAGGACGACCGGACCGTCGCCATGAGCGTCGCCACGGAAGGGAACGCCGGCGAGGAAGACGACGAGGACGACCGGACCGTCGCCCTCGGCGATGCTTCGGTTGCGGCGCCTCCGGGCCGACCGGAGGGCGGTGCGGGGGTCCCGGGCAGCGTGTCGGTGGCGGCGTCGGCKTCGGCCTCCGAGGAAGGGCTCGCCGGGCCGGGGGAAGGAACGGGAGCCACCACCACCAGCGGCGGCGAGGACAGCGGGAGCGAGAGCGAGCTGGAGTTCGAGGCCGCGGACCAGGAGAGCGACGGTGACGGCGAAAAGGAAACCGAAACGGAAACCGAAACGGAAAAGAACACCGAGGACTCTGCCGCGGGGGATGCGGAACCTCCCGCTTCGAAGGACGGCGGCAGGGAGAGTCCTGCCCGGGAGGAAGCGCCGGGCCCCGCCGGTGCATCCACCGGAGCAGCAGCGCCTCCGGGCAAGGCRCGAGACCCCGGCCCCGAACCGACCGCCCCCACCCCCCAGCGGCGGTCCGGCCGGGCCCGCAAGCCCCGCGTCCCCTACTCGGAAGAACCAAGGGCGCCCAAGCCGGGCCCGCGCAAGAAACCACCGGCGGCCCCTTCCGGGCAAGCCCTCCCCGAAACCAGGGACTGGGTGACGGCCACGGACGTCCTCTTTGTCCACACGGAGGACAAGGCTTCCGTGACGGTCAAGCAGATCTTTTCCTCCCTCGAGGAACAGTTCGGCTGCAAGATCACCAAGGCGCTCAAGGCCGTCGTAAGGGACCGGCTCCGGGCCCTCGTCACCGGGGCCGCCAGGCCCTCGGTCGGGGACAGCGAAGACGAAGGCGGCGAGAGCCACAGCGGAGCCGACCCCTCGCCGTCTTCCTCCTCGGAACCGGAGAGCAGCGAGGACGACGCCGACGACGAGGCGTCGGACTACTCCGACAGCGAAGGGGAGGCTCCCGGCAAGAAGGCCGGCAAGGCCGCCTCCTCCGGGAACCGGACCAAGAAAAAACAAAAAAAGAAGCGCGGGGGCAAGGAACCCACCGGGGGCCGCCGGAAGGGGCCTCCCCCCCGCGCAACGGCGAGGGTCGCCGAGGCCCACCGGCTCCGCCGCAAGAAGCGGGCCGAGGAGCTCAGGGTCCGCAACGAGGAGATGCAGCTGGACCAGACCMAAGAGGACGAGGAGCGCATGGAGGCGATCGCCGCCCTCTTCGAGACCAACACCGAGGAGCTCCGGCTCAAGCGGCTGGAGGACCGCCTCGACCTCCTGCAGATGCTGGACCAGAAGCGCCTCTCGGTGGTGGCCCCCCCGGCAGCACGAGCACGAGCCGGAGCACAAGCGGAAGACGCCGCGGGAGCGAAACCAAGGGTGCTTGCCGCGGCTTCCACCGGTGCGGACGACCAGGGCGGAACAAGGGCCGAGCTTGYTCCCGGGGAGGCCGCCGCGGAAGCTTCCGTTCTCGACCAAACGCGGGAAGCGGCTTCCGCCTCCGAGAGCGACAGCAGCAGCAGCAGCGAGGAATCGTCCTCGGACGAGGAGGACCTGGTGATCGTCGGAAGGAAAAAGCCCTTCAAGCCGCTCGAACCCCTCCAGAACAACCTCCCGTCCCRCAGCCTCCGGCTGCTGGACGAGGTTGCCTCTCCCGGGCGCGGAAGCMRAACGACACGCTTGCACCGGTCCCACGCTTCCGTTTCGAACGCCGCCGTTTCGACCCCTGCCGCCGCGAATCCCTTCACGGGGGCAACCAAGGCGGGGAAGAAAAAGGCGGACGCTTCCGCGGGCCTCCTCTCGCCGAACCGCAGCATGGGGGCCCGGTTTGCCCTCCGGAACGCCCTCAAGCGGAAACAGATCCAGCAGGGCAACCAGTGGCTGGCCCGCGAGCTGGGCTACAAGACCGAGGAGGACCACCTCAAGGACTGCCAGACCGTTGCCGACCAGAAGCGCGCTCTGGTGATCAAGCTGGAGCAGGAGCGCCTCAGGGCCAACGAGCGCAGGCAGCTGAAGGAGCGCCTCCTCCTGCAGGAGCAGCAGGCCTACGGTTCATCCGGCGAGCAGGACCCCGATGGGGACCCCGGCGACGAGGACTAYGTGCCACCCGGGGAGGAAAACACTCCGCCCCCCGAGGACGAGGACGAGGACGAGGAACAGAAGCTGGCCAAGGAAATCGAGGAGGAAGCGAGAGAACACAAGGCCGCCTCCGACACGGAACCCGACGCCGAGCCAGAGACGCAGCCGTTGGAGACGCAGCCCCCACTCGATCCCGCCGACGGAATGCCTGCCGKTGCGGCAACCGAAACCGGGAGTTCCGGTCCCGAGTCGAGGGACGACAAGCCGCCGGAGAGCCCAAAAGAAATTCCATTGGATACCCAGCCGTCTCTGGTGGAAAACAATGGCGAAGCCATGGTGTCGGCAGAGAAGCCCTCCGAGTCTTCGGAGGAGCCCAAACCGGACGCAAACCAGGCACGACCTAGTTCGGAGGATTCCGACCCGATCAACGACACCCAAACCACCACCAAAACCGGTCCAACCCGCACCCTGGAAGAGGGGGTCGTCACTCCGGAGAAAAAGGATTCCAACTCGGACGACGAGGGGGAGCTGGAATTCGATGCCACCGACGAGGCGAAGGACGAACCCAGCCGCCCAAAGAACGCCGGCTGGCAGGCGATGCTGAAGCGGGAAGCCGAAAAGATCAAGAAACAAAAGAAGCGCAAGGGCGGACTCGTGGAAGAGGAAGCCGAGGAGGAGGAAGAAGAGGAAATCGCCGGCCTCCAGGATTTCGGGTTTTCGATCGGCAAGAAGAACAAGAAACCCGAGGAGGAGGAAGCCCCGGACGACCTGGACGCCGACGACCTGGAACACGTCGTCGACGACGTGTCCGATGGCGAGGGAGACGAAGACGCCGGAATGGCGGCCCGGAAGCGGCTGGAACAGAAGGAAGAAAAGGCCCGCCACAAGGAAATCCTCCGCCGCATGCGCGAGGGATACGACGGCCGRCGCGGYGGAATCGCGGGCGGCGGTGCCGGGGCCAGGGGCATGCACCGGTTCGATCAGCTGGTGGCCGCCGACAACCGGGAGGACGCCCGGCGCCTCGGGCTCCTGAACGACGACGAGCTGGACAGCGAGGACGAGAAGAACGAGGGGGAACAAGCAGGCGGCGGCGACGACGAGGAAGACGACGAAGCCGCCCTCCTCGACAAGATGCTGAAGGACCGGTTCATGCACCGCAGCAGCGTCGAGCTGGAAGAAAACTTCTCGGAGGACGAAGAGGAGGAGGAGGACAAGGGCGAGGGCGAAACCACAGAAAAACCCAACGAGGTCCACGACGAGGAAGTGAGGAGGCAGGAACGCCTCGCCAAGAGGTTCGCCAAGCGCGCCAGGATGCAGAGGCTGGAGGAGATGTACGGGGACAGCCAGGAGTTTTCCCAGCAGCGCCTCATCGACGAAGACCTGGGGATGAAGGAGGAACTGAGCCAGATGCGGTGCGGCCTGATCCGGCGGTCGTCCTCGCTCTCGCGGCGCAGCAGTTCCTCGTCGGTCGGTTCCGGGAGCAACCTCGGGCCACTCTCGCGAAAGCGGCAGCGGAGCAGCGAATCGTCGCATTCGAATTCGCATTCGTCGTCGTCGGCATCTTCCTCGCGGGCCGGTGCCACCGCTGGTGGATCTTTGTTCCGCAAGAYGCCGGGGAGTCTCTCGATTGCGCTGAGGGCAAACAAGCTCAGGCGCAGGTCGTCCTTTTTCGGAGGAAACAKGGCGGGAGCCACCAATGGATCCGGCGACCACCTTCCCCTTCCCAATGGCTTTAGCCGAAGCGCATCCGAGTCCTCCAACTCGCAACTGGGCAAGCGAAAACAGGGACAATCGACCTCTGGAAGCCTGTTCAGCCAAGTTTCGGGCAGGTTTCGGTAACGAACTAAAATAGTTACAGTCAMACTTGATATAGAAACCTAAGTAGAGCATTTGGATACTCGTATCTATGCAAAGAGGCTAATATTGTTCGAGGTGGAATTCATAGTGGTACGAAGTAATTAGATTACAGTCTAAGTGGAACATGACACTACAAGCGATTCTGCGTACAAAAGAGTGAGACACGAAAAGAAATCTACCGTAGTCAACATATCTATGGAATTTGGTGAGGTGTCTTGTGTTTTTTTTAATCAACTGTAACAATTTAACCTGAGAAATACTCCAAATATTGCGTTTGAGTAAATTCCGAAACCTCAAAACCTGCTCGACTAGTTCGAATCACCGGTCTGTCTGCGATGCGGGGTTCAACCACAATTTTGAAATTTTTCGAAATTTGGTTTGGTGGTTGTGGTCATGATCCCGGATTTTTCGAATGGCGCCCCATTTTCAAAGGCTGAATTGATTGATTCAGCAGTAAATTCGAAAGAAGACCGGTTTTCGAGAGACCATCGAGAATTCTCCTCGGTTCYTGYCTCGATACAGTAGATCCACAACGGGCAACGGTTCGCACATTCTTCTCCTGGCATCGCGACTCGATGGCTGCTGATTCTCAACCCTCGGCACCACACCATGTCAATCTCGAACGGCAACCGACAATTGGCAAGATTTGTGGCCAGGTGCTATCAGAAAACAACCACCTGGGAGAGACCCCGWGAGATCCATCGGCGGTTCAAGCATTGCGGTCGTCAACGGCACCGGCCGACACTGCGTTGCGGTCAGAATTTCTCTTTTTCTCCCCTTTCCTCCCTGTTGCCACCCCGATTTTTGGAGGCAGCCGACGAGGACCCATTCGGTGACAAAGACCATCGCAGGTATTTCACGACGACGGATTCTCCCGTTGCGACCCATCAATCCGAAACCGCGCGGGAGACCGCAAAACCAACCGGAGCGAGCGGTGGATCAGCGGAGGCACCTGCCACCAAGAACCCCCGACTTTCCCGAAAGGAATCCACGCATGCCGACACACGAACGACCGGCGGAACGACTTCCACGATCATCGAGCCGTCGGTTCGCAGCCGGCCCTTTCGCAACTATCGGAGCAAAGCGGGTTCCACCCACGGCAGCAGCGAGCCGARAGAGGAAGGTGCCTCGAACAAACGCTTTCGGCGCTCCGCTCCCCCCGCCTACAAACGAATCCTTGTCAATACGCTCCAAAACCATCTCTTCGACGACCGAGCGGAGCCGCGGGAGCAACACCGCGAGTCCCTTGGCGGCCCGCCGTCCTCGGTCGGTGCCCGGCAAGCGGACACAACTTCCTACGGATCGTATCCGGTCATCGGAATCCAGGTCGCGCGGTCCATCGATCTGTCCGAGGTGTCTTCCGGCGTCTTGGCCACCAGGGGGGTCCGCAAGACGAGGGAGCGACTCAGCGTCGTTGCCCAGCTCGGACCCAAGGCGGCCCCAACCACCCACCCCGCAACCCCGGCGGCGAAGCGAGGCGACGAAACCGCCAGGTTCGTGGCCGTCTTCCGTTTCGGGTCGGTRGTCTTTTTCAACGTGTCGCCGAAAGAGGTCGCCGAGCTCGTGGACGAGATCAAGCGGTGTTCGACKGGGAGCCTGCCGCCGGAAAAAGAGAGGAAGGACCGGTTTTGCGTCCACGTGCAGCCGCCGCAGGCGCCTTGTGTCGTCGGCGAAGGGAGCACTTGCAGCGATRGCTTCGACGACGAGGACGTGGTGACGGCCGATTATTGCATCGTTCACGAACTCAACATGAAATCGGTGGACGTCATCAGCAACATCATGGCGCAGAGCGTAGCGCTGGATGCCTATAACGACACGGTAGACGAGTTACTAGCAGACTTTGAGCGCATCAACAACAAGGTTACTATCGAAGGGAAYCTTAGCCATACCGACCGTGACAAGATGTTTCGGGCGGTCGCCCAAAACAATGCCATCTTCTTGAAGCTCACCAAGGTCGGGATCAAGGACCGCGACAACACGGCGTGGAACCTGAGCCAATACGAGAACATCAGCGAGCTGATGCGGGAAGAATTCGACATCGACCGCCGGTTCGAGCACATCGAATTCAAGCTGAACCTGATACAGCAGAACGCCAAGTTCTTTCTGGAAGTCCTCGCCAACCAAAAGAGCGATTCTCTGGAGTGGATCATCATCGTTCTCATTCTGCTGGAATGCGTTCTCATGTGCGTCGAAATGAGCGGCATGGGCGAGCCGCTGTTTGGCTATCTGGGACAGTTCGTTCCGAAACTCCCGTCCTTTTCCTAGCCAGGCAGGCCAAGTACAAGAGAGTGCCCCAACACGACAATGGGCCGAAAAGAACCCGCTTGTCCTTTTCCGGGCCACAACGTCACCCGCCCGGTTTGGTGGCTACTASCAGTTGCGTCGTTTCCGGTATCATGTCTTCGACCCTGACGCCCACGAACCCCTCCTCCAGCAACAAGTCGGTGACACGGCCTGGTCGGAGGCCCATGCCCTCGGGGTTCACCGTCACGTGGGCAAGAGCCCACAGGGCAGCGTTCCTGGGTCCGTCGCCGTTGTTKCCCACAAAGAAATCGTGGACGATGGCGATYCCCCCGGGTTTCAGGGCCCGGTAGGCATTCTKGTACAATCCAGACAGGGCTCCCACCGGGATGGAACCACTCACGTAGGACATCAGCACCACGTCAAAGGACTCGTCTTCCACGATGCCGGCCCACCGGTCCGGGGCGGTGGCCGACAGGGCAAGCGTYGAGAGACGCTCTCGGACGTCCTTTTCTTCCCTCGAGATGATGTCCCGGGCCACCCTCGCGACGCTTGGCAGGTCCAGCACGACGCAGCGGGCGTCTCTTACGGTGCGGGCCGTGGCAATCGAAAAGGCCCCGCTCCCCCCGCCGACGTCGAGCATTCGCGGGCASGGGAACCTCTCCCCCCCGGACAGCTCGGGGAGGCGCCGCAGGAGCCCGTAGCCCGTCGCCAGCGAYCCGTTGTGCTGGGCCAGGGTGTACCTCTGGGCGGCCTCCGGATCGCTCTCGAACCACGCCTCGTACCCATCGGACARAGAATCCCCCSTTAAAATAGTTTGGTCCAGGTCTTTCATCCTCGTGTAGAACTGTGCGTCGACCTGCCCGACGATGTAATCTCCCCAGTAGTGTTTCGAGCTCCGTACCAACTGGTCGGCGGACGCCTTCGGGAGAGAGTAGATCTCTCTCCCGCGGAAGACCCGTCGGTCGATCARCTTTAGAGCGACGCAGGCCGAAAGCAGGGTTCGGAGGCGCTCCTCGGGAATGGGTTCTTGGCAGTGGGAGAGAATCTGATCCAGGGTAGCGACCGACGTCGTTTCCGTGCCTTTGCGATCGCCACGGTTTTGTTGTTGCTGTTGTTGTTGCTGTTGCTGTTGCTTTGCGGCGGTGTCGATCGCGTCGAACACGCCGACCTTGAGAGCCACCGACAGCGCCTTGCTTCCCATGAACCCATACGCAATCTCGTCGATGGCGAGCYKGCTTTTGCGGGCAGAACRGTCCTCGGCGGAAGCGGCCTCGGCGGCGCCGGGGCCCGCAAAGGCGGGGAGAAACGGCCTCGCGGCCGGGGGCGCCSCYTCCCCCGTCGTGTCYTCCAGAAAGCCCCTCACCAGGGCGTGAAAGGTCGAAGCGTGCTTCTGGTGGAGGTTGTGCTTTCCCTCGGGAAAGACCGTCAGGGTCGCRTCCGGGATCTGCCGGGARAGGTAGTCCGCGTGCCKTGCCTCGCAGACGGCGTCCCTGCTCCCGTGGAAGACCGCCGTGGGGCACCGGACCCGGTGGAGGACCGAGCGGCAGACGTCCCCCCGGGTCCGCGGGTCGCGGCAGAGCCGGATCCACCCGTCGGTGGCCGCGTCGTTGAGCTCCTGCAGGCGCTCCAGCGATCCGCCGTGGGCCTTTCGCTTTTCCTCCCGGGCGCGCTTGGACCACGTGCGCACGTCGCGGAGGGACTCCCAGGCCTCCGCGTCCTCCTCGGTCGCAGAGGCGTTGCCCCCCCACACCACCAGGCTKYCCACCTTGTCCCTCGTGTCGGGGTGTGCCGCCAGGTGGATCGCGGAGTTGGCACCGTCGGACCACCCCAGCACCGCGTACCGATCGAATCCCAGGGCCTCCATGACCCCCGCCGCGTCCAGGGCRTCGCGGASGTAAAAGTCGATGGGGTAGTCYCGCTCCACCCTCTGGGACGGTCCGTCCCCGGAGGTCTGCCACACGCTGCCCCCCAATCCCCTCGGATCGAGGGCGTAGATTCCAAAGCCGGGCCCGAGGCCGCCGTCYSCGTCGTACAAGAGGTTGGCAAAGTCCGAGGCTCCGGTTCCCAGCGCACCCGGCARGCACAGGCACGGATAGGGCGCGTTTGGGTTGCGAACGGTGACCCGGAAATCGATGCCGCTCGGGGCCGAAACGATCCTCTCCGAGACGCCGKTGTCGTTGCCGCCGGGGGGTTCGGTMGGCCCGGTCCMGAGCGAGCGCTGCGTGCGACGATCCCAGCCWCCCAAGYTTCTCCGGGAYGCCAGGGARCGAGAAGACGAAGCCCGAACCCGAAACCTCCCCTCGGCACCGGCACGACGGTGTCCGTGGAGTTGCCGGACGACTCTTGGTGRCACGGACTTCTGGTACAAGTGGTATTGACCACGAATCTTGGGACGGAAAAATRTCGACACCGGGATCATRATAATTTRGTATCGGTGTGTTGCTCCTTGTCGTTGTCAGAAAACTGCAGCTCGGCYGAGTTGGAATCGGCATTTACGATAATGAATAATGAACATSGAGGAAGAACGTTCTGTAACATCAAGCCGACGTTTGATGTTTTWTGTCACTCCACTCTTCTGCRCGAAGGCAAAGGACYTAAAAAACGGAAAGATACCAAACACCAAACCSTCGASAGTAGTGATCCTATGTACGTAAAGTATGTTAGATCTTRTTGCTTTGTATGTGGAAGAACACGTGCATTCCTATGTGGAACGTGCATGAAGATTTTTGGCGCGAAYTCCACCTGCTTCCGAGACGGCGTTGTAGAAAATTTCGCAGGCAAGGATCGACGGCACAACCGGTGAAACAACAGCACGCAGTGTACCGGTATTGTTCGTTCTCCTATTAGCAGCGAGGATCTCTCCCTCTCYCTCTCTATCCATCTCTTGTCAGTTCCAGCGACACTCGTTAAAGGTGCGGAACGGCATCCCCAGAAGGGCAAACCCCCACCCGATCCACCCGACCGCTCGCTCGCGCTTCCCCCGGAGAGACCCACCACGGTCCGTGCAACACCCACCACCATGCGCCTCCGACCGCACCGGCTCTCGGTCGAGACCTACGGACTCGTCCTGGTGTTTTTCTCCGCCGCCTTCTACGCCCTCGCCGGGGCCTTTGTCAAGCTCGCACACGCAAGGGGCGGCCTGCCCTCGACGGAGCTCGTCTTTGCCCGCGGGATCTTCCAGGGGGGCCTGGTGGTCCTCGGCCTGTGCCTCTGCCGCGACGCCAAGGGCCAGCGGCTCATCGCCCACCCGTTCGGGAGGTCGGCCGAGGCCCAGAGGCTGGTGTGGATGCGGGGGGTCATCGGCGGGGCGGGCTTTTTGCTCGACTACCACTGCATGTCCGTCCTGCCGCTGGGGGACGCCATGACCCTGATGAGCCTCTACCCCTTTGTCACCATCGTGCTGGCCCGGATTTTCCTGGGGGAGGAGATCCAGGCGCTCCACATGCTCACGACGGTCGCCTCGGTGTCCGGGGCCGTCTTCATCGGCCAGCCGACCTTTCTGTTCGGGGGCGGGACGGCCGAGAGCCCCACCCTCGGCTACGTGACGGGMCTGCTGGGATCCTGCTGCCTGGCCTCCATACTCATACTCATCCGAAAGGCCGGAAAGATCGGCGTCCACACCTTCCAGCTCCTCCTGTCCTGGGCCCTCTTCGGGGTCGTCTTCAGCGTCGTCCTCGGGCCCTACGAGGGGAAATGGGGGTGGCCCTCGGGCCCGGCCGCCTGGGGCTGCGTCCTGGGGGTGTGCGTCGTCGGCGCCGGGGCCCACTTTGTGCTGAACTACGCCGGCCGGCTGGCACCCGCAGGGCTGGTCTCGGTGGTGCGGGCGAGCGACATYGTCTTTGCCTATGGCTTCGAGATCCTCCTCTTTGCCCAGCGGCCCAACGCCTGGACGTGGATCGGTGTGGCCCTGGTGCTGGGATCGCTGGTCGCCATCGGGATCGAAAAGATCCGGGAGGGCCAAAACAATCCACAGATCCCGTCGCCCAAGGCCGGGGACCGCGGGGGTGCCCTTCCGGCCGGAAGCGGCGAGGAAGACCGCGAACGCGGCAGCGGCCCGCCCGCACCCGAAACACCTTCGCACGGCGACGAAGAGAACCAAGGGCTTGCGGTGGTGTCCAGCCAGAGCTTCAAAGACGAATGAGAAGCGTTTCGAACACACGATCGGCTCCTTTCGTCCCGTCGGTGTCGTGCCCAACACATGCCTCGCCTCAGGAGAGACAGAGATCGAAAACCCGGTTCCCCTTCGAGCACCTTTCGTTTCTTGGCCAAAACTGTTTCCAACAAGACTTGCATGGGGCATCGATTTTTGGGGGGACGAAGGAACCGTGTTTCGGATCGCAATGCTACGGATGGCAACGATGGCACGAGTTGGATCGTTTTCAATTTTAAGTATACTACTTTAATCGAGAATTATTATTTCGTGAGAGACCGACCTGCCGCATCGTTTCTAGAGGCGAGCATTATCTTGACTGGATTTTCGAAGGACGTAGATCGTCCTCCTGCCGACCATGCTCCMAATCRCARCTYGTCGCGACCACGGCATTTCCGCGACGGTCACCGGTTCCGCCGGGCCACCGGGAACCTTCTCACCCGAACGCCAGGACCGCCTTGCGGGACAGGTACTCGAATTCCTCCCGCTTCATCCCGACCCCGGCGATGGAGGGGGGCAGGACGGCCCCTCCGGCACCCCCCGGCCCGGCCCCCAGCACGACCTCCAGCAGGACGCAGACCATGGCCCTCCAGTGGGCCGGGGAGAGCCTCGGGTTTTCCCGCGAGTAGTCRAAGGTCCGCATCAGGTCGTTCAGGCGCTTCTCGGCCCTGCGCTTGGACCCGGGGGGATGGGAGAGCTCCTCCATGCACCTGCCCAGGTACAGGCGGACCATGGCCATGACGCCGGCGCAACGGGAGGCCCCGACGTCGCTCCTGTCCACCATCGGCGTCCACTCGGTGTCCACGCTGTGGTTTGTGGTGGTGGCCGTGTCGTTGTCGTTGCCGCCGCTTCCCTGGGTCTCTCGCAGGGCCTTGACCCACTCAACCGTCTCGTGGGTCATCCAGTTGACGAGCGCGTTCCACAGCAGGGAAAAGGCCCTGACCTCCGGCTCGGGGGGAGGTCCGCGATCGTCGTCGTCGTCGCTGTTTTCCATATCGGATCCCAGCAGGAGTTCCATCATGGCATCCGCATCGTCGTCGTCCTCGTCGTCSTCCTCCTCCTCCCCGGTCTCGCGGGCATCGCCGTCGACGGCCCCCTCCACGCACTCGGCGCTTTCGTCGTCTTGGAAGATGTTGCGCTTCCCCAGAAAGACCTCGAGCTGCCTCCGACGTTCTTCCTCGTGCTCCTCCCTCAGCTCGGGGATCTTTTGCTCGTACTGGTCCTTGGTCATGACGGAAAAGGCAATGTTGGCCTCCACCATTTTCGTGTCTTCCGTGATGGTGTCCGGGTTTTCGGGCATGGGCTCGCCCGCGGCCCGCATCAGGGCCTCCAGGCTCTCGATCACGAGGGGTTCCTGTCCGCCGCTGTCCCCGCCGACAMCTTCGGCGGTGGTGCTGGTGCTTTTGCTTTTGCTCGCTCCCAACGGTTCGGAAGCCGGAGCCGCCTCCCGGGCACCCTTTCCGGCAAAGGGCACGTACCCCTCGATGGCGGAGGCGCGGAGGGCCGCATCCCCGGCGGTCGGTGGCGGCAGCGGCGGCCCCTTCTTGCCGCGGCGGAAGGACCTCCTCCTTTTCGCGGCCACGGCCGGGTCTCGCTCCACCACGACGTCCCTGCAGATTTTTCCCGCTTCCGGTTCCGTTCGAAGTGCCGCTGCGGAAGCCTCGGGTTGCGGCCCGCCGCTCGGGACCGCGGGGGAAACCGCCACCGTTTGGAGTATACCGGTGCCCGTCGGGGCCGGCGCCGCGGGCGGAGATCCTGTCACTACCGCACTGCTCCCGGTAGCGCCGGAATATTTGGGGGTTTTCAGGATGCTCGCCGGGAGCTTTTTCTCCGGCTTTGGCTCGACCGGTGGCACCCGCGTTGGTTCGTGGGTGGAAACCACCACTGTGTTGCCGTAGCTGTGGTTGCTGCTAGTGTTGCTGCTGGTGTTGCCGCTGGTGTTGCAGCTGGTGTTGCAGCTGGTGTTGCTGCTGCTGACTCCCCCGAGGCCCATCCACGACTCCATTCGTTTCCGGGCCTCCTCGACCTCCCCGGGAGGGCCCCCTTTCTGATCCCTTGGTGGCTTGTCCTGGGCAACCCCCGGGGACCTCGGTTTTTTTCTCTGTACCCGAGGACGAATGTGCTGCGGTCGGGGATCCTCTCCCTGCGGCTTCGGTGGTGAATCGCTCGGCATGGCTGGTTTTTGGTCCGGCAAATTACCGGTTGAATCCCTTTGTCGTCCTCCTGCCGTTCTCCGGTGTTGCAATTTGACCGCGGAACTCTTGTACCGGTTCTCGGTTGCGCCTTTTAGAATGGTGAGAGACAGGAAACAGTTGCGAGTGATTGCTCTTCGATTCGTTGAAGTGGCGCCGCCGGAAGTTGCCCGGTGCCATGCCCGTAGGGATTG